CCGAGGGGTGCCTGGGCGGAGCATGTGTGCCAGAGGAAGGGATCTTGGACTCCATAGTAAACAACTGTGATGGGGGTAGGCGGGAGTGGGGAGGCTGTGAGGGGGTTTGAAGAGGCAATGGGCTGCAAGTCAGAAGACCTGGGTGGGGGCCAGTCCCGGTGAACTCTCTGAGCGACTTGGGCAGTTCCTGCCTCCCTTCTCTGGGCCTCAGTTTTCCCATCCATCCACCAAGGGGGCTGGACTCCAAGGTCTTTAAACGTCCTAACAGCTTGAAAGATTCCATTCTCTTCTCTGAATCTGCCCAGGGGGAGGCCTTGGGGGCTGGGGCACAGGCAGGGGCTGAGAATTCCATAGCAATTTGCATGTGAAAGCATGTTACTGCCATGGCTATTAATGTGTGCAGGGAGACTGAAGACAGGGCAAGGACAGCTAACTGTCAGGCTGGCTGGAAGGGCCTAGGCAGCCTGGGGGTGGGGTAGGGGGGCCCTGAGGTGTGCCCTGGGAGGCTGGACAACCATGCTCAGTATCAAAGGGTGAAACTCCTGGACCTTCCAGCCTCCACTCAGCCTTGAGATGCCCAGTTCTGGGCCCAGGCCTTGAAGATGCCACCAAGCTGTTGTGTGGCATGAATGGCTTCAGATCTGTGTGAGGTGTCCAGAAGGGCACCCAGTCAAGGGGGTGGACTGTTAGTGCATTTTCAAAATCTGTTTTGCACCAGGTCCAAATCTCCCAGGATGATTGTTTCTTTAGGATTATACTGTGTGGCTTTAGTAATTTCCTCGTGTAAACTCACAGTTTGTCAATATAAATATAGTGTATATATAGGTTTCTTTGGTTCACTGGAGCATCTCTCTCTCTCTGTGTCTCTTTCTCATATATGCATTCTTTTGGGGATTCTGGGAGAACAAAGCCATAGTGTGTGAGAAAGGCAACCTGCCCTAGCCTGTGATGCAGGAAGCTGGTTCCTAGGCCTCACTCTGCCAGTATTCTCTGTGCATCCTTGGGTAAATCCCTTCCAGTCCCTGGGCCTCAGTTTCCTCATGAGGACTTTGGTTTGGAAAGGAGCTGTCAGAAAAATCCTAGCTGTATCATTTCTTGTCCCTAATTTCTCAGATTCTACTAAGTAGGCAGGAGGGCAGCTAGGGAGGCCAGGCCCCCAGCCAGCTTGTCCCCCTGAAAGTAAGAACTCTGGAATCCAGCCAGGGTGCAGGCATGGATCCTAGGATTTCCTCTGGTTTCTTTTGGAACCTGGAACTGAAAAAGCCACATAGAGCCTCTCCGTGGGGATTGGCCAGAGAAAGGGGAAAGCCCCTTCCCTCAGAAGCCAGCTCCTCACCCACCACCTCTGGAGAAGCTGCAGGAGCCCAGGCATGGAGCCACGGGGATAGCCCAGGGCTTGAGGACACCTCTGTTAGTCCTGGCAGCTTCTACCTATAGGCTTTGGAAAGTGTTGTTCTTAGGTATATGTTGTCCAGGAACCTGGACAAGGGCCAGAGGTGCAGGATAACTTTTTATGCAGATGCATAAGAACCCTGCAAAAGGCCAGTTTGGGGTAGTGATGACAGCAACAGCCAGATCCTGGGATTCACTTTCAAAGCAAGAAGAGCTCCAAGAAGTCCCAAAGCCAGACTGACACACACACATGCACACACACACACTGCCATTCTTTTACAGGAGAAACAACAGGTGCTTACTGGGTGCCAGGTATTCAACATTTGTTGAAAAAAATAGGTGAATAAATGAAAACTAGCTTTAGAACCCAAGTTTTTAATCCATGTATCTTCCATTCTGCCTTTCACATTCTCCACATCCAGTCACCCTACAAGGAGAATCGAGTTAGCCAAGCATTTGAAGACCTTTCCAGAATAAGAGGTCTCTGGCACCTCACCCATCCTGTTTATCCAGTGTCCAGATCACAGATGAGCATATAGCAGATGTTCAGTAAATACTTTCTGAATAAGTGTAATACCACTCTCTCAACCAGTCAGGAAAATTAAGGCCCAATGGGGCAGAGACCTGCCGGACCTTGCCAAAAGGAAGTCATGGTAGAGAAAGGACAGGCCCTCAAGGCGTCCAGCCTCTCAGCTAAGGGACCTTTACTCTGGATTAAAGGTTTCAGTGGGAGAGGCCTTCCCATCTCCTTTCACAAGTTCCTCATTTTTCCCAACCCCCAGCTCTCCCTTCTTCCCTCTTTGCCCGCTGGATAATTAGCCACTGGAAACAGACCCTATAATCACTGTCTCCCCCATGCCCTTGAATTGCTTTCATTTTGGGCTCTGTGACCCCTGTTCTCAGGGGGCTGATCTCCCCTTCAGTCTCCCAAAGGGGGAGGCCAACCTAACAAGCACCAGCTGGGGTCCCAGCCCTCTAGATCCAATGGCCAGCTGTACAGGAGGCTGGCAGCAGATGGGCTAGGAGGGTCCCCAGGCAGGCTGGGGCTGACTCAGCTGAGGTGTCAGAGCGACTGTGACGTGCCCAGGCAGAACAGGAGGCTAGCCAGGCAGGCAGGCAGGCAGGCCGGATTTCCGAGCGTGATTGATACCAGGTGGCTGGAGGGCTGCTTGCTCAGCAGCCCAACCTAGGATGGCCTCAGTTGGGTTACCTGGGTTCTTCAACCCACCTTTATGACTCTGCATTGAGGGTGCTAGGCCAACCACATCCTTTGTGCCTCAGGGAGGCCTCCCGGGAGCTTAAAATAGACCGGTACAAGGTTACATGAGCCTTGGCTTTCCAGCTTTTAAAGCCTGTTCCTCCAAGGAAATGGGAGGCCTGGCTAGTGTCTGTTCATTTTGGCTTCATGGGCAAACTGGATTCAGCTTTCGGAGGAAGCCAGGCAGCCCCACCCTCACCTGGGAAGCATCCTTTATCCCTGAGTCACCAGGAACTGGGGCCCAGCTGGAACAGGAAGGAGAGCGAAGGGTGGGGCGGGTCTGAGGCCATAGCACTGGAAGCTCATACCACCTGCCTTCAGCTAGCTAAGCCTACTTCCTCCCCATCCCAGACAGATGGGAAGGGAATGGGGCTGGAAGTAAGGAGGGCTCCTGTTCCTCAGGATCTCCAAGGAAGCAAGAGGCAAGAAGTGGGGGAATGTAGAGGGGAGGGGGGTATCATGCCTCTTGTTCTCAAGAAAGTGCTATCTGCTCATGGTGTAAAAGGCCTGGGATGGAATCCTAGTGTCCCTACTCACCTATGTGCTTGTGCAAGCTACAGGTAGGGTCTCAGTTTGCTCAACTCAAACATGAGACAAATAATTCCAACCTGACACCGTCTCAGGTCAAGTGTTTAACAGAAGTGGCAGGCACTAGCCCAGTGAAGGACACTATCCACAAGGATAGCTCCACAGTGTGACCAGTACAGTGTGGGCACTGAGCTTATTCAACACGAGCCAGAGAGCCCATGCCAAACACAGGCTCCTGGGCTGTCCTGGGGCTGTGTGATGGACTGCCCCATTCTTCGTTCAGCCCTCTTCTTCCAATCTTACTTTACATTCCACAGCTTACTCCCAGGGCCCCCAGGAATTCCATCCCCCACCTGTCTGGCAAGGGCAGCAGGTAGCCTGAACCTGGCAGGAGACCCTAAAAGGTACTCAGTTGGAGAAGTGTAGGAGGGGCTCACCCAGCCTGCATCCAGCTCTCTTCAGTTGGAGGCACTCATCTGGCCTGAAGCAGCTCTTGTTAGAGACCCCAGCCTCAAGCCCCCACTCTGGGCAGGCAGTCAAACAGCAGAGGCCCCATCTGATTCAGGCACTTCCTCTGGTTAATGAGAAACCAAATAAACAGCCTCTGCCCCAGCTGGCTCCAGGAGCACCCCAGCCCAACCCTGCTCTAGCCCAGCCTCCCTTCCCTCTGCCTGCAAGTCCCGTAGCTATCCTTTCCCTTCCTTCTCCATGTGCTCCCCACTTCCCACAGAGCCCAGCCTGCTCTATGGCTGGTTCTCTGAGGTTTTCCTGCTCTGGATCCCTTACTTACCCTCCCCTTCCTTCCTTCTCCTTTCCTCTCCGGCCTTACCCAGTTTTAGCTGCTGAAATCTCACTTGCCTTCCTTCCTCCCCTGACATCTGTCTTAGCCATCTCCACAGGGAGTCTTCCCTCAAGACCCACAGGCTGCTCCACACTGGAGCAGGAGGCCCCAAGCCCTGCCAGTCTGCAGCTCTACTGTGGGACTGAGGCCAACCCCTCACCAACCAAGGGCCCTCACCAACCAAGTTACTCATCAGCCTGTGGAAGGGAGATGGAGTGCTCAGAGCTGCCCTAAGCTGAGGGCTCCCACTGCCAGTGAGCTCTGGTGTGGCCAGCTCTGAACACAGGAAAAGATGATTCTGTCAGAGAGGTGAATGCAGCAGCCTGAAGCCACCACAGTACCTGGTAGGCCGAGGCTGGGACTCAGCTCTTAGGAAGTTATTTCTAGCCATTACTTCCAGCGTCCTGAGGCAAGGCAAGGCTAGACCTGCAAGCAGGTTCCAGATCTAGGTCCAGCCAGGTGGTGGCAGTATGTTCGGACACACTCAAGTCCCCATGGGAACACCCCCTCCCCCATCAACTCTTTCTAGCTGAGCCTGGTGTCAAAATGGGCAGATGCCTAGGGCCTGTGCTACAGAGGGGACAGGATGGTTCCAGGCTCCATGACAGCAGAACAAGAGGACAGAGAAACCTGGGTGGGGAGGGGAGCAGCAGGCACAAGGCACAAGGCCCTTGAAACATCTTACTCTGCTAGGTGAGACATTCTCTTCCCATACCTGCCCAATCACCTGTAGTTTGGGCACACATCACAGTACCTGTGTATGTACACACACACACACACACACACACACACACACACACACACACACACACACACACGATGCATGCATACAAACATACTCTTACACTCCCTTCCCCAACATCACGACACCGTTTTACACCCATTTCTCCATGTGGTTAATTTTTTTTTTAGTTCTCGTTTTTTTCTAAGAAAAAAGCAACAAGAAAATAATTCAGAGTTTATACAAAACATCTTTACATTATTTTTTTCCAAAAAGACTAGTATTTACACAAATGGCAACAGAAACAAAACAACAAAACAAAACACAAAAACCCTTCCAACTGCCACCTGGAAGGGGCTGGCTGTTCTGCTCCCTCTCCCACCTGGCACCAGGGTGGGCAGCTGGCCAGGAGGCAGTGTGGAGGTGGATGGTTGTAAGGCCCAGCTCCTTCCATAGCTGCTCTGGGAGTGCCTCAAGGTATACCCTCTGTGGCAGTCTGTTAGCAGCCGTGCTGGTAAGGAGCTGGGGTCAAAGTGCACAGCGGGCAACCCTGGGCAGACTCTTCCTCTTTCCAGGCCCCAGCCCATGACTGGAGGGTGGGGAGGGGCAGTGGGGATCAGGTTGGGCGTGTGAGTGTGGGGCACCCATCTGTGCTAAATTCCAGAAAAGGAGCAGGTCACTTGGCCTTATTACCCGCTTAGGTCTTCACCTTGGGCCTCTGTTTCCCCACTGGGCCAAAGGATGCCAAAGGTAAGGAGAGAACAGGGTGGCGGTGGGGAACTCCCAGCTCTGCAGGGCAAATAGCCACCTGGGCACCTCACCTCCCTCCACCCCCCATGAGGTCATCTGCCTGCAGCAGCTCTCCTGTTCCCCAGGCAACAGCCAATTAAGACATTAATTACCGTGAGAGTGAGGGAGGCAGGAGATGCCCAAGAATCCCACAAGGAAGGGATTTTATTTTTCTTTTTGGTGGAAGGATGGCAGCCACTACCCCATTGCCAGGATCAGTTCTGTAGGAGGAGGGAGGGTGGTACACTTTGCCCAGTGGCACTCTCCTATGTGGGTGTGGCCTGCCCTCCCCCACCCCCTGAAATACCAAGGAGTCTATAAAAGCAATGCCATCCTCTGCTTCCTGGCTGGCCACATCCTGCCCCAGGCCCTCTTATACTGGGTCAAACCAGGCTCAAAAAGCCTGAGGAGGAGCTGCCTTGTATATTTTTTCCATTTTTCTTCAAAAAACAGATGAAAATGAGTTGACAGCTAAAAAAATGAACACAAAAGCATTAAAAACAGTGATGATAGTGGACGAGCAGTCCTGGGAAGGGGGAAAGGGAGCGAGGGAAAGGGCAGGGCCAGGGGGCCATCTCCCTGCCTGCTGTCTATCAGCATCCAACCCTGCCCTCCAAGAAAGGGTGCCCCCACCGAGCCCAGAGGCCTGGCCAGAGGGGGAAGGCACAAGAGCATGGGGTTTGGGGGCACAAGCACCCCCCTCCGAAGCCCAGGGGGCAGGGAAAAAGGGGATTATAAAAGCCAAGAAACTACAAAACTAAATACAAAGGTGGGCACAGCTGGCAGGGGTGAGGTGTTGGGGGAAAAGGAGAGATCCAGTCCAGGCCGTCTGTCCCTCAGGGCCCAAGGCCGAACTGGGCACTCAGACTTTGTAGTAGATGTTCGCCGGGCTCTGGGGTGGCATCTCCTGGACGATGTAGACGGGGTGCCCATAGTCTCCACTCACCTTCTCATAGTGGGGGCAGTAGTTGTTCTCTGTAGTCCGTAAGGGGATGATGATGTCACTGGGCTCAGTGCCTGTGGTGCCACTACCCCCCTTGGGACTGGCCAGGGTACTGAGTGAGAGGGCAGCTGCCCGCTGCTGTGTGTGCTTGCGGTGCCGCTTGCGCAGCTTTAGTAGTAGAACCGTCAGGAAGATGATGATGAGCAGGAAGATGACACAGCCGGCACCAACGGCTGCAAATAACGCCACCTTGGAGTTGAAGAAGCTGTCAGGGTCACTGCTGCTGCCCCCACTTGCACCTGGGCCACTCTTCTCTTCCTGGTTCACAGTCTCTGAGAAAGGGGAAGGCCAAAAACTATAAGCCAGGGAAAGATAACACAGCCAACACCGACAGCGATAAACAATACCACCCTAGGGCTGGGAATTTAGCTCAGCGGTTCAGTGGCCTGCCTCGCAAGCGCAAGGACCCGAGTTCGATCCCCGGTACCAAAAAAAAAAAAAAAAAAAAAAAACAACACAACCTCAGCACAA